AAAAAGAATTATTTGTCTGGGGGGGGTGGTGATGACGAAGTGCCTTGTGCACAGCTCATATTGGATAAGCCTGTTCTGCCAAGTGAAGGAGTCTCGTTGGCATAAGCCTCATCTGAGAGCTTCCTTTTTCCTTCTTTTTCCCGCGACACGGGAAAAACTTCCTTTTTCACGTATGGCACAGAGAAAGTTCGGTCAGTTTGAGTCCAGTAGCCGCTGATTATTTTTCCCTTCCCAGGCGGTGGTTATCATGGGTGTGGTGCTACAAGGTGCCAACCTGTATGGCTACATCAGGTGCAAAGTGGGCAGCAGGAAGAATTTAACCAACATGGCCACATCGTATCTCGGAAAGCAGCTGTTAAGACAGGCAAGTGTTTTCTGGATGTGAGGGTGATTTGGATGCGGTCAGTGACTCATGCAATCCTTTCTAATTCTTGTAGTGTTTCATTTTTATGGAATACTTAACAAACATGTGTGCAAGCCGGGGAGGGGCAGAGAGAGAGGGAGAGAGAGAGACAGGTTCCGAGCTCTGACCTGTCAGCACAGGGCCCGACGCGGGGCTCGAACTCACCGACCGTGAGATCATGACCTGAGCCGAAGTCAGAAGCTTAACCCACTGAGCCACCCAGGTGCCCCCATGTCTATAATTTTTCACATGACTGGGCCATGGACGGTAAGGCAGTGTAGCAACTGGCTTCACTTCCAAGGATGGGCTGTTTTCCTAGTGCTTTGAAGTCTGGTGTTTTAAGTAAAATTGTTCTCGATATTAAGGGGTTCTTTTCCCTCTTGCAGAACACTGGAGATGATCAGACTTCCTGAAGAGGGGGGAGAAAGCTCATGTATTCGGTTACGCGGGGGAATGGCTGGAGAGAGTCTGGACTCTGAACCTTTTGGAACTGAGTACATGTTGCAAGGAGGAACGTTGGGTTTGTTTTTCCAGTTTATTAATCTCTTGCTTTAAAAAATTGGAAAAGTCGTTTTCACGTTAAGTTTTTTACTGTCTCTCTAGCGTCTGGGGCTCGAAAGTATGGTGTGGCCAGAGACACTGTCCAAACTGGTTCCCGGTTTACGTAGGTGATGTCCATATGTCTCAAGTTAATGCAAGTGTCTTTACGTGCATATGAATGGAGACCTTTGCGTTTTGACCCACAGAATATGGAAGATGTTCCCCGTCTCTCAGAACTCTAGGTGTGTACATACTTGTCTTGTAGATCGTCGTCAGAAGGAAGTTTTGCTTCCGTGGTGAGAGTGAGCACTTTGGCTTATTTAGAAGTTAGAAATAATTGTTAGTTAACTTTACAACTTAATACATACTTTGTGATGAGACTTCTTAGGCACTCACAGGCAGGTAAAAACCAAATTCGGGCCAGTGGTTAACTAGTTCGTCAAGTTTGTTTCCTTTCATTTGTAACAAGTCGTGTAGTTAGGGCCCAATTAATGTAAATGGAATTTTCCTAGTTTATGTTTAGGGGCTCCCCTAGAGAATTGCTGCTGTTCTATTTATTTTTCGGAAGGGTTAGTCAGATTTCACTTTGCCACTTTCCGTAGGCTCTCTGTTGGTCCTTGGCCTAATGAAATCTCTCTTTTATCACTAAGAGAGTATTATTCTTATGTCATAGTGAGAATAATCACATAAATACTTGGCATAATAAATGCCCACAAGACATTTTATCTTATGAATCTATTTTTTTTTTCTTGCTATAATGGGGATATTGTAAATCATGCGTTTGTATTAATGGTATTTCTTAAGGCAATATATGTAACAGTCTCCAAGCTGTCGTAGGAGTCTATAAATTCTGTTGCAGGTTCTGTAAACTTTGTTGGAGTCTTTCAACCAACAGATTATTTTGTGAATGTATTTATACCTTGTTGAAATTTTTCAAAAGATGTTTAATTGAATAAGTCTTTGTTGGAGTGATAGCTTGAAGGTGCATAACTCTATATTTGTATAAAACTCTACCGTTTACAAAGCACTTGGACACGTTTAATCTCATTTCATCCTCGCGACGAACCGTTTATGTGCGATACCAATTTATAGCCGATAAAATGGAATTTTTGATTGAGTGACATATCCAAGGAAACAGATTACTGGAAGGCTCACCAGGGTACATTATGGTTTTTACAGGAACTATTTGTCTCTAAATGTCTTCTGCTTTCTTAGGAATCATTAACTTATTTTATTAAAAATATTTTTTTTAATGTTTATTTTTTGAGAGAGAGAGAGACAGACAGCACGAGTGGGGGAGGAGCAGAGCGAGAGGGAGACAAAATCCGAAGCAGGCTCCAGGCTCCCAGCTGTCAGCACAGAGCCTGACGTGGGGCTCGAACTCACGAACTGTGAGATCATGACCTGAGCCGAAGTTGGGCACTGAACCGACTGAGCCATCCAGGTGCTCACTCAGGAATTTATTAAGTGCTTATAAATTTATTAAATGTTGTTTGCCATTGTGCATATAGTTGTCTGGTGAGGAAAGTTGATGCTGCATAGACATGTGTTTATTTCATCTGAAGGCTCTAACCTACATCTTTAGAGCTGGGAGTCTAACAGGGGCCACGTTGCTGTGATTCTTGAGGTAGCCGTGTTAATTATTTGGACCCATAATCCCAAGCCAAATACGAATTGAACCTTGGAATCTCCATGTGGCGGAATCTACCACTTGTCTCCCAGTGTCCATTTTTCCCTTCCACAGGTTTGCCACCTATTAGCAGGGACATGGCAATGGAGTTCTCCTCGGATTGTCTAGCTGCATCTTGGTGTGGCCACGTGACCATGTTCTGGCCAATGGATGCACTTCCGGGAAGTGTTCTTAAAAGGAGGGGCCTACCCATCCCATCCCCTGTTGTCCTTCCTGCTAGCTGAAACGTGGGCGCAATGGACGGAGCTTAAGCAGCCATCTTGGGCTGTGGGGCGGAAGCCTCTTTTCATGAATAACGGAAATAAGGTGGAGAGAGACTGAGTTCTCCCTGACGTCTATAGCAGCCCTGAACGGCCTGTCTGAATTTGCAGGCGAGAAACAAACCCTCCCCTTGTTTAAGTGTTACTGTTTTGGCTTTTCTGTTGCTATAGCATCACTGAATTCTTATCAGTCCGGAGTATTTTTAGCATCCCCCGTAATTGTTTCTGTAAGTATAGCATTTGAGGTGTAATAATTCAGTAAACACATCTTTGTCCCTTTCTCTGTGTGGTAATTAAGCCAGTGCTGCAGGTGCTAATGAATGCCGCTGTTGCGGATGCTGTTGCTGCATAAAAATTTAGTGGTGGTGAAAAACGGTCCTTTTGCTGTGCGTACACGCGCTGTGGGGCAGGAATTTGGATGTAGCCTGCCGGGGTCGCCTTTGCTCAGCTCTGTGGTGCCTGGGGCTCAGCTGTGAAGATTTGAAGGCCGGCCCCGGGGTAGGAAACTCTGGGGGTGCCTTCAGCCACGAGTCTGGAGGGCGACCATCAGCTGGGACCTCTGCTGGGTTGTTGGAGCACTGACGTCTTTGTGCCCTGAGGTCTGTGCGCAGGCTCATTAGGGCTTCTTCGCGGCCGGGCAGGCGGACTCTTAAGAGGGAGCCTCCCTAGAGAGCGGCAGCGGCCCGTGGTGTTCTTAATGGCGAGGCTGAGAATCCGCGGAACGTCACTCGCGCCGTCCTCTGTAGGTTGAAGCAGTCGCCCCGGGTCCCCTTGAGTTCAAGGGAAGGGTGACGTGGACCCAAGCTTGACGAGAGGGTTGTCAAGATTACATTATAACCACGATTACGCGGTCGGGGGAGAGAGACGGTGCGGCCGTCTCCAGAAAGGAGAATGGGCCACCCCTACTTGAGTCATTTCATCGAGGCTGACAGTTTGCTCGGGACAGACTGAGGGTAGCGAGCGTGTTTTCCTCTTTCCTCTTCCCTGGGCCAGCCTTGCGTACAGGTGAGGTGTCTGCGTGGGGCCATGAAGATGAAAGCAGCCTTGCATTTTACAGCCCCCGGGGGTTCCCGTTCTTGGAGCCCCCCTCTGAAATCCACAGGCAGGGGTGTGGGGGTGTAGGGGTGAGAGCACATTAACTTCCACCAACGCGTAGCCACTGTGATCCTTGTCAATTTGTGTAACTTTTAGAGCCTGTCACAGTCCCGGGGTATGTACGGTCTCATCCGATTCGCCCCAGAACCTCAAAGGCCAGAAAGACCCATCCGTCGCCTTGTGTTTCAAATGCACAACGAAGCCTGAGCTGCATGAAGTGGCTCACTTGAAGGTTGCACGTGGTAGACCTCGTAACGCTCACCAGACACTCCGTCTGCTCCACCTTTCCCAGCCCCCCTTAATTAAACGGAGCCCATGTGACTAGTTATGGCCATGAAGTGTGAGTGGCAGTGGCCATTGTCGTTTCTGGGCGAGGAAGGCGAGACGTGAGAATCTCTGATCGTTCTTCCCCTTTGGTGGCAACCCGTGGCATTCAAGATGGCGGAACCTCCGCCAGCCTGGGTCACAGGGCGACTCGTGGAACAGAGTCCTCCTCCCTGGGACTGTGAGACATGCAGCCCAAGTGGGAAATAAACTTTTGGTGGTTTTTTTTTTTTTTTTTTTAATGTTTGTTTATTTTTGAGAGAGAGTGCCAGCAGGGGAGGGGCAGAGAGAGGGGGACAGACAATCCGAAGCGAGCTCTTTGCTGACAGCACAGAGCCCGATGATGTAGGGCTCGAACTCACAGTCTGTGAGATCATGGCCTGAGCCGAAGTCAAAAGCTCAACCGACCGAGCCACCCAGGTGCCCCTAACCTTTTGGGGTGTTAAAGCCTGGTTAAGTTGATTACCTGGTTAATTTTAGCATGACTTCATAGTCCACTCTGACTTCTATATAAGTCACACTTATGGAACTTTAAGTCCTAATGCAGTAATCTTTCCATTGCCCAATGCTGTTTCCTTTTGCAAAAAGAGAGATTGGACTCCTTGTCCCTTAGTGCAGGTGGGACCAGACAAGCAAAGTCAACCAGGTAAAAACTGCCAACTAGGAGAGTCCACACACCATCCAAAGGGACCAGAAGCTTCTCACTTTCAGCCGTTTGTTGTCACTCAGGAATGTGGTCCCTCTGTTGCTAAGTTTCTAAATTTTTCAGAGAAATGAAAAGTCTAGGTGTTTATGTGAAATCTGATCTTTTAATGCTTATAATTTTTTTTAATGTTTATTTTTGAGAGAGACAGAGTATGAGGTGGGAGAGGGGCAGAGAGAGACAGACAGACAGACAGACAGACAGACAGAATCTGAAACAGGCTCCAGGCTCTGAGTTTTCAGCCCAGAGCCTGACACGGTGCTCGAATCCATGAACCGTGAGTAAGATCATGACCTGAGCGGACACCAAGAATGGGGCACTTAACCCACTGAGCCACCCAGACGCCCCTGATCTTTTAATGCTCAAAAATTAAATTTAAAAGGAAGAAAGAAGACACCTGTGAAACCACACTGACTATATTCGCAGGTCTAATTCGGCTGTGCCAATTTTTGCCACAGTGCAGTGATTTTCAAACTTCGTCTGTTGCTGTTTTTGTTTTTTGTTTTTTTAAGTTTTATTTATTTGAGTGATCTCTACATCCAACATGGGGCTCGAACCCACGACCTCGAGATCAAGAGTCAGATGCTGTACTGATTGAGCCAGTCGTTGTTGTCGGTTTTGAACAGCACATTCTAAAATTGTATGCTGTTTACTTTTCAATTAAAAATATCATCAAAATAATACCTGGTTCTCATGAGAAGCAGGAAGCATTCCTTAAAACCTTTATATTGTTCTAAATAAGAGAGGAGGAAGCATATGATTTCCTGAAGAAGTTATAATTGCGTGCCAAGAAAGAAGTCATCTGTAACTTTTCACTAATTAACTAGTTACAATTAACTAATTAAAAAAAAAAAGCACTTGAATCAAAAAATCAAGTATTACAGAAGCTGTAAGGAAAAGCATCAGTCTTACCCAGTCTCAACTCTCCTCCCCAGAAGCAAGTATCTTCAGCTGCTTCTGTCTTTATTATATTTTGGGGGATGTACTGCCATACTTGAAATCATATTCTTACAGTGTTTCTTGGCTTTTCAACTTTGACTTCCTGCTCCAAAAAATGAAGATTTGGGGCCCCTGGCGGGGCTCAGTTGATTGAACGTCCAACTCTTGGTCTCTGCGCGGGTCTCGATCTCGGGGTCGTAGGTTTGGGTCCCTCACTGGGCTCTGTGCTGGGTGCGAAGCCTACTTAAAAAAAAAAAAAAAAAAGAGGTCTGTGTGTTTTTCCACAAAGGAAGTCTGGAAGTGGGCAATTACTGGTGTTGACGAGGCTAGTCATCAGTGCCCCGGAGAGCCAGTTTTTGTCCCCATGCTCATTGCCTCAGGGTCACAAGATGACTGTCACAGCTGAAGATGACTCATCTAGTCTTGAGAAAGAAGACTACAGGCTCCAGTAGCCTCTGTGCCCTTTTATCAGAAAAGCAAAAGCTTTTCCGGAAGTTCCAGGGAAGCCTCGCGACAACTCATTAGGCAAAATGGTGTCCGTCGGGTGTCTGGGAGTCTGGAAAAGCGGGTGCTTAGGTAGGCACGTTGCTGCCTTGAAGAAAAGCGAGATTTTGTTAGTAGGGGAAAAGGGGCAGAGGGATATTAGGTGGCAACTGGCGGTGCTGACTGCGTATTTCTCACGCGAAGCTTTACGTAGAGGACACCAGCTGTTGGTGGCCAATGCGAGGGGCACCATTTCTGCAGTAAAGAAATAGCCTTTGGGGGCGCCTGGGTGGCTCAGTCGGTTGAGCATCTGACCTCGGCTGAGGTTGTGCGTGATCTCAGAGTCCGTGAGTTCCAGTTGCATCAGGCTCTGTGCTGATGGCTCAGAGCCTGGAGCCTGTTTCACATGCTGTGTCTCCCTCTCTCTCTGCCCCTCCCCCGCTCATGCTCCGTGTCTCTCTCTCTCTCTCTCTCTCTGTCAAAAATAAATAAACATAAAAAAAAATTTAAAAAA